AGCTCGAAAGAATAAAAAGAAGGCATCCGATCTTTTTAAAGATGCTGCAATATTTTTTAAATCTACCTGGAAATCAGTGCTACATTTGTTTAAGTACATCTTTCTTTTGCAGAATATAACAATATCTGTGTGTGTGTGTGTGTGTGTGTGTGTGTGTGTGTGTGTGTGTGATGCAGGGAAATTTGGCCCAGTTGGCAGCTCGTTGAGACTAAACACTTTATAATACAAGTGTGCGCACACACTCACACATTCATGCACGGACAGAACAAAAAAAAAAAAACAAAGAGCAGCACAGACTCACAAACAAACATACGGGTTGTAAACAAAAGCTCTTTTCCTTCTGAAAGAGGAGTAGAAAAGTGCACGGCCACAGTGCGCCGTTGAAAAGCTCTACGGAGTGACTACTGCATTAGAAAAAGCGACGCAAACATAAACCGTGGGATAAAAAAAGGATTATATTACAAAGCCTTTTAGAGTCCTGAGTTTATCAAACAAAACCGACAAAAAGGCCAGAGAGTCTTTATATCATAGAAATACAATAAGGATTTAAAAAACATAAACAAGACTTTTTTTTTTTTTTTTTTTTTTAGATTCGACCGTCCTCAGACTTCCATCATTAAATCTTTCCAACACATCCGTGGCTCTCGCTGGGGACAGGACACATTGTACAGCACTCGTGTTGTCGTTAACAGCATGTGTAGAGTTTGAAACGAGGCGCTCGTCGTGTAGGAAAAGCAGCATCTTCTGGTGGAAATACTAGAAAAGACTTGTCTGAGCAAATGATGGTTTCAGTGTCAAGTTTCAAAATGACCCGAATCGACACCAACGTGCGTCGTCCCGAACCGGACACAGATGTGAGGAAAGTGACTCTACTTCATACACCGACTGACATCAGCGGGGATCCGTCCAGTCCGACCACAGCCGTCTACTGCTGGTCACTGGAACACCTGTGGGTTCAGCGCCTTGCTCAAAAGGCACCTCGGCAGCTGCTACTGAGAAAGAAACGTCTAATCTCCAAAGCCCCTTTCAGACACGCGCTGCTTTTCTGTTAATCTGACGGCATCTGAACGTGTTAAAGAAGTTAAACTCTTACTACGTGGTAACCTTTACAGATCGCTTTCACCACTACCATCAACAAACAGGGACGCACAAGATACTCTGAGTCAACTTAGGGGAAGGCTTTGTCCACATTTCAGCACCAATATTGGTCTAAAAATCAAAACAAAGAGCCAAAACCGCTCGTTAACGTTGCCCTAGAATTTCACATCAACTACAAACTGAAATGTCCATTAAAATAAAACTTACTTAATGAGACTCACTGTTCACATCAACAGCAGTTTGTTGCTTTCAGCTGTTTTAGGAGTTTTTCCTGCAGCGTGAGGCAGCAGCAGGATTAAGGACTGACCGATTATCGACCTTCTATCTGGGCCGATACGTCTCTGATTATCATTATTCCTATTAACCGATTATCACCTCCTCTACTTTGGGTCGGATGCAGCTGCTTCTCTCTTTCTGTAGTTACTCTGCGGTTTCTCTACCAGAAACACAACCTGCCAAAACCGAACAAGAACCCTGAACCACTGCTGCAGACAAGGAAACCAACAGCTTTCACAGTGGCTCAGGCTACGCTAGCGGCTAAGTTAGGGGGGCACAGATTACCCCAGAACAGTATCTGTAAAAGAGTAATTGAAAATGCTTTAGGTTAGGTACTCTCATGGGCAATAAAAGTGATGGAAGAGAGAAAGATTAGGAACTCTATGACACACAATCTCAATCGATGGACCCATCAGTGAACAGAGAACGTCACAGCCATCGCTCCAGTTGCTAGAAGCTGCCTTAATTGAACGCCATGTTTGCTGCTATCGAATGCTGTCAAATACAACCCCTCACATCAGCTCAAAATATCGGTTAATGTTCTTCCTTCATGACCAATAATCGGCATTTGCCCTGAAAAACCAGCATCGGTCGATCCCTAATCCACACCAGCGTCGCCAAACTGATGCGCATTTGTGCGATAACTCCATTAATTACTCAATAATAATTATCTCTGGATGTGAGGAAAGTTAAGCGACCTTCTGTCTGAACGCCGTCACTTCAACAGAACGTTTCGTGTCTGAGAAGGGCTGAAGTCACTGCCTGCGCTAAACCAGAACACATCGGAACATTTAACGATACTGGAAACTGCTGCTGCTACTTCATGATCATTAGACTAAAGGCTGAGAAATCATTTGGTTTCATCAAATCTGTGATTCCATGACGGGAGGGAGGACTCGAACAGCTGCTACAGGTTTGACATCAAAGTGGGACTTGGAGGTTACCCGCAACCGAACCCATCCAGGGCGTCTCGTATGGATCGACGATCATGAGGCTGATTGTAGTCGACTTCCAGCCTGCTGTGATAGAAAAATAAAAGAGTCTGAGGTCCTGATGCGCTCACAGCATTTTGAGGCAAAGTGTATGGATTCCTAAATCCAGCCGCTGCTCTCTGGGTTTCAGCAGCCAGACGTCCGGCTCAAACATTTACCAGCCGCACGCCAAGTGATACCAGCGCCAGAACTGTGTGCGTTTAAAACCAGGATGGGGATGCAGAGGTCAGGCTTCCTCTGGTTTCTGTGCAGGATTCAGTTCTCAGACTACGTGGATGTTCGACGCGACAGTAAACGCCGTCTGTCATCGTGTAAATTATGAGCTTTTCAACAAATTGCACTGAAACAGGGATTTTTTTTAACCTTTCAACGGGTTTCATTTGAACTTTAGAGGCCTGGAGACGTAAAGATAAGCAGTATGATGTAAAAAAGGAAATAAGGAATCGATTTGTGCAACTGAACAACCTTTTCTCATGTGTCCTCGTCACCTCGGAAATCCCCTCACACCGCACTCTTCCAGCTAAAGCGAGGGGGAAGAAGAACTTCTCTTTCTTTAGCTCTCGGCTTTCTTCAGTCTCCGCTCAGCTATTTCTGCCACCATTCATGTGAACCAACGATTACCCCATCTCGCTCTGACGCTCCACTTTACATCCGTTGCTTGCCTGCCTTCATGACTCACTACAAACACAAAGCAAATGCAGTAATTTTCAGAACATGTTTAGCTCCAATGTGTGTTTTGATTGTGGCTGTTAGAGCTAAAGGTCGAAGGAGGGAGAGGGACGGTAAACCAGGCACCTGCTAACCGGCCGAACATCCACAACAGCTCGACCTGAATCAGCTTCACCTGACTGAAAATCGGCAACAAGCGGTAGCGTCAAAGCCTCACACGTTCTCCAAACACTTCTGAAAAGAAAACAGAAACATACCCTGATTTGTGCCGGATAAAAAACAATCTTTCTTCCTGTCAACTGACCCAAACTTGTGCATCTTTTTTCAGGATCCCCTCTCTCTGGCTTCCACTTCAACAGGCACCAAATATGAACTAAGCGCTGGTAACATCTGGACGTGGCTGGTAAATCTTAAAGAACGCCGCTGGACAAACACCCAGAAGTTTGGCAGGTAAGTTAGTGAAAGAGGCTTGAGGGGAAATAGTTTGGATTTCGCTCCAGATGGGAGAGATGAAAGTAAGTTTCCTGCCTTTGTCAGCAGCAAGAGCTCCTTTTCCTTTCTGGGAGGAAAAACCCTTCCTCGTTGTCGAGGTTTGGCCGACGTTCTCACCCAGAGCAGGCTCAGCGTCGTGCTCCAGGACAGTCTGACAGGACTTTTGGCTGCAGCTTGGACCTGCTGCAGGTTCTCTGTCACCTGACCGTCTCTGCAACAACAAGTCCAGCCCACAAAGGTTCCCAGCAGACCTTGCAAGCAGCCTCTACCGGCGGGGCTGGTGGTGGCGAGAGTGACGAGGCAAAGACGAGGTGGGGCTGGAGGAGGACGAAGGTGAGCAGGGCGACATGGAGGCCAGGGAGGCTGTGGCGGCGGCGTCCTCGGCCTCCTCCAGCTCTCCTCCTCCGTGCAGCTCCTGGCTCACGCTGGACTGTAAGGCCGCGGGGGTCAGCCACTCTTTGGGCAGGCAGCTCTGGAGGAATGGCACGCAGGAGCTGAAGTAGGCCAGCCGGTTGACCCAGCGAGGGATCTCCCTGCCGCACAGGATCTGAGGAGAGAGCGGGAGAGGAAGAGGAGGGAAAGTGTTGTTATGGTTCAAGACGTAAACAGCGATTCATCAAAACGGCCTTAATCGGCGGAAACAGATGTTTTTCTCTGACATAGATGAATAATAATTCCAGCTCCACGTCGCTGAAGGAAAAAGAATCTGGTGTTTTTACTGTTGGCACCTGGGGTTGGCTGGTTTTAGATGCAATGTTTCACTGAGTAAAAAGGTTTCATTTGGCACAAGAATACTTTATAATATCCTATATGTTGTGTATTTATGTTATTAGGTACGAGTTTTTATTTCTGCACTTTTCAACAAAACCAAAGCTTCACTCAAGTTTTTCCATCCTTCATCACTTCTACCTCCACAGCTTTCTGCTTTTTACTATTTAGAGGCGTGAGAGGACAGACAGGTGGAGCTCTGATAGATCTGCATTTTAAAGAAAGCTCAGGGTTACATTTAAGCCATTTTAAGGCAGGAAGGGATTATTTCTAAGTTGTTTAAATAAAGGGACACACGCACACACACATTTCTTCGCTTAAGTTTTGCAGCAGGAGCACAAAGACAACTCAAAGTGTGACGACAGCAATATCAGTAAAGTTCTATAATATAAAGTAAATGTCCATAAATTCTGGTAATTCTTCTATTTGAAAAATGTTTTTGCGGGACAAACACTAACATGAAATAAGCCTAAATAAAGGTTAAATCAAACGGAGCGTATCTTCTGTCTAAACTTTCTGTTGTCTGTGCTCATTTCATGATCTACAAATTAAATGTTTACTTTCTTTGTTTCTAAGTCAGAGGACATCTGAGTGAAGCTGAAAAGAAAAAGATGTAAGACAATGAATGTGTGGCATTAAAACGCCTCCTGTCTGTCTTTCTCTGCCACTTTTGAGGTCTGTGTTTGATCTGTTGACTTTCTGAATGTACAGCAGTGATTTCTCCATCTGCTACCACCAAGTGCTCATTCATGGGCGGGTCTGGTTGGACCTGGTGGATCTCTCTCTCCTCCCTGAGCTAGCGTGCCGACACAGGCGGCAGCCCAGCCTGCGTGAGGGCCAATTATCATCTCTCAGCATTATCACAGCATTACAGGACAAGAGGCTTCCAAGAAACTCAGTGTTTTCCCCCCTCAGAGGGCTTAATTGTGCTTTTTGATCAGAGCGTTTAGCGAAGCTGCTGACAGGCTGCTTCTTCAGATGCATGAGGAGACAGCGACTGTGGATTTGCTTCTCACCACAAGAATGTCTTGCAAAGCAGCTGCTTTTGCATGTCACACACGCCACCCGCAGCCAACAGATGGTGCGAGATTGTAACGTGTGTTTGCTCTGAACCGACAGGATTCTTGGCCTTTTTCCGTAGATGTTTTGAAAAGTAGAAAATGCAAACGCCTTCCCCGTATTACGACTACACAGCCTCAGCGAGGAGGAGAGGTAGCTCTACGTTCTCCGGCTAATCTATAAAAATCACTCGAGTTGGTGCTTGGCTGACATATGAACACGTGTTTACAGAAATGCCCCTTTACACTCACAACACAAGCTTTCAAATCACCAACCAGCGCTGCTCACGGCAGATAAGCTGGCCTCTTATAGCAGACGCTGAGTACGATTCCAGATAAAAATAACTAGGAGGCAACAGAAGATAAAGAAAAAAGACAGGAAATGGGAGCACAGAGATCTGCTCCTCACACCTGCATTCACTGGTTTGTTTTGGCCACTGGGGAGCAGCACAACAAGCTGCAACAGCTGTGGCGTAGCTTTAATCTCCTCTTTAATCTCTTTTACTACATTTCAGAGTAAGCTTATCTCGTCTTTTTACACACAGTTTCTTTTATGTCTTGTCAAAATGCCTTTTACGTCCAATGTAAAGGATTTGATGCCGTTATAAGCTGTAGGATACAGATATAGATATGTCGCTGCTACATACACAGACTTTGCTTTTCAGCTGGTTGCTCACTTTTGCAGTTTGGTGCTGGGCAGGAAACAGGTGTGATCTGTGAGAGGTGTGTCAGTGAATAAAAACAGTTTAATTGTGGGATGTAAAACCAAAACAAAAAGCTCAAAGACACTCAAATGTTGGGCGATGATTTCATGTGGTTGTAAATTAAAAATACTGATTTGAAGAGCTTCGGGAAGGATGGCAGCTAATAACCGTGTTTCTGTGTAACTGTTAAGACATGGTGGAGCAAACTTAGGCTTGTTTCCGTGAACTGCCCTGGAATGAAAACCGTACGCTGTGTGGTGTCGTCTGAAGGTGGCAGTAGAGGCTACGTTAGGCATGGCTGGAATAAAAACAGTAGAAGAAGCCGGAAACAAAACCTGTTAAAAGGAAGAATAAGAAACAAAATCTTGGCCATCTATAAGAGAAAACGAATAGAAATCTTTCATGTCAGCTGGTATCGGCCATGTTTTACTCTGTCTGGAGGCGAAAACAACAAAAGAAGCAGAAACAGCTGATCAGTAAGTGAGTTAAATGGTAAAAAATGTTTCAATTGCCCATTTCCGAAAGTTTTTAAATTAAAATGCGCCTAAAAACGCAATATGGGAACACGATAAAGCTAACGAGTGAGTTCTCATTTATGTACCACAAAGCAAAACACCAACAAAGTCGAGCCTCCCTGAGCTTCAATATTCAATAAGTCCTTCCTAAAGGCACGTGTTTCAATCACCTGAGAGATTCTAATTGCTCCAAGCCTTTTAAAGAAAAACAAACAGACAACAAAGGGGCAAACTGACCTAGTGAGACTCGACTGCACCACAGTCCTGCGTTCAAATGTCTTTAATTCCTGCGTTTGGTTTCCGTGCTTCCCCCTCCGTCCCTCAGATGAACAACAGATGTGTACAGATAATGGACTTGCATAATGAGACGGAACCAGAGCGCTAACAGGGTACAGTGTGTTGATTTGCTCTTCAAAAAGAGGGACCGGCGTCGGCGTCACACGCATCAAACGGAGAATTAATTGTTACGCTTCATGTCTGAAAGCTGCAGCGACCGTCAACGTGTCCGACCGTCTTCTCCTCGCCGTCGCTCCGAGTCCAACTCCCGTGTTAATGAGGTTACAGTAAACATGAGAATTAAATCCTGAGGGTAGGACTGCTGCTCTATGGCAACTCTGTGTGTGTGTGTGTGTGTGTGTGTGTTTCACTAGATATGTGTTTGTATGTTGGAATATGTGTATGTTGCACTGATGTGATGCAGTTTTGTGTCTATATGTGTGTAATAACTGTGTATTTCTTCTTGTCTGTGGTTTGTACATGTGTGTTTTTATCAGTGTATGTTGTGTGTGTGTTGTACAGCATGTGCATGTGTGTGTGTGTGTGTGTGTGTGTGTGTTTGCCAGCTGGCTCTGCATGTCTGGGCTTGTATCAGTGTCCTAATCCCCATCTCAGCGCTAGATGCTAACTGTAAGACTCCCTACTCATTAGTCACACCAGGATAAGCCGATTGAAACTACACACACACACCAACACACAAACACAAACACACACACAGCCACAGCACAAGCACTCACAACAGGACAGAGGAAATCAAGAAGTAGCGGGAGTTACACTACGTTTAATGGAGTATGCTCATTTTTTTTGCACCTCGAATCAAATAATTTCAGCTAAACGGATCATCTGTGTGTGTGTGTGTGTGTGTGTGTGTGTGTGTGTGTGTGTGTGTGTCTGAACTTGTATTCCTCATGTTATGAGGACATACATCTCCTACATTCTTTTTTGGGGCAAGTCCGCACGTTGTGAGTCATAAAATATAAGGACTTGGTTTAACTCTTCTACCAAAGACAGAAGCTAAAAACGTTTTGGGGAACCAAACGCCGGTCTATGCGATGTGTTCTGATAGGATGTTTGTGCCCACCTCTGACAGCGCTGAGGAGAAATGGTTGCAGTTCTTGTGCATGAGGTGGTAGGCGTTGCCTTTGTACTCCTTCCCCATCTCCTCCACGATCCGCTCCACATCCTCCTCTGTGAAGTCTGTGCTGCCCAGGACTATGGCTTCTCTGCAGAGACAAGTGGAGGTAAAGACGTCAAAGTTATTACTCACTAAGAAAACACCGAAAGAGACGTCTGGGCGTCTCTGTCTCAAAGCTCTTTTGCACAATCAGTGAGCCTCAAGCAACAACTGCTCAACAGAATTGTCTTAAGTGGCACCTACGGGTGATTTAGGATCATTTGTGGCTTTCAGAAATTTTCTCAGACTTTAAAGACACTTTGGAAACAAAATGATTGGTTCGGGACTGACTGTACAAAAGCTGGTGTAATCGTCTGCTGTACAGAGCTGAGGATATATTATCCTCCAATCTATTACATATATATCTGGTGGGGTGTTTACACAGATTTTTATGTAGAAATTCTTCTTTTGACTCCATGTTGACATATTCTGTGAAGTGCCCTCAGATAAAGGATGTGGTCGTCTTATATAATCATTTAAAGGGAGCTGATCGTCTAATGATGAAACCTCATCAACTTACGCCTCATTAAAGAGCCCACATTTGGGTTTTTCCAGTTTAATTTAGTCAAGTGAAGTCAAATATCTTTTATTAAGTGCACTTAAAACAACAGGAGTTGAACCAAAGTGATGCACAAGTAAACAGCAACTTATGAGACATGAGAATCTGAATGAAACCACAATCAAATAAAGAAAAATAAAAGACACAACACAACAAAAGGAGAATTTAGGGTGTCAAGCACTTCTTGGATGTGTTTTATGGCTTTTTCTGCATATAAAAAGTCTGCACACTTTTTATACAGCTTCCTATCTGTCTGAAATGCCACGTTTGTGCAGCCTTATTCTTTCTGTTACTTAATGATGTCATCATGTAACACAGCTGCATTCAGCTAGTTTGAGCAGCATCCTCGTCGTCCACCATTATTTTCTCACTCTTTTCCTATAATAATACATTTGGGGTTATGATAGGTTACTTTCATTGCTTTTGCTGGACCGGCTGACCAATCAGAGCAGACTGGGCTTCTCAGGAAGCGAGACCTTAAAGCAGGGGTGTCCAATCCTGGTCCTCGAGGGCCACAGTCCTGCATGTTTTAGATGTTTCCCTCTTCAAAACACCTGATTCAAGTGATCAGGATCGTTATCAGGCTTCTGCAGAGCTTGATGATGAGCTGATCATTTGAATCAGGTGTGTTGGAAGAGGGAAACATCTAAAACATGCAGGACTGTGGCCCTCGAGGACCAGGATTGGACATCCCTGCCTTAAAGAGACAGGAGCTAAAACATAGCGTTTCAAACAGAAGGACTGCAGCAATATACTGTATGTGAAAAATGGTGCGTTATTTCACCATTAAAGCAAGTAAAGTTATTCTAGTAGAGCCCAAAAATAGAAAATTAGAAATCTGTGTGTGTGCATGATAGGGGCTCTTTAACAGGTTGCATTCGTCAAGTTTAAACAATTCATTTTTGCATTTTACAGACTTTGCCAAATCCGTCAGAGAACAGAAAAACATTAAAGGAATATTATTTTTGCCCTTACATGGTTGGCTCCTACTGTCTCTACTAAAGTGATGGATTTCTGTTATTTATATAAATAATTCTGACTTCTTCCAGACGTGACAAACTGCTTTATGAAGAACAGCAAGATCATTTTACAGCTGCCATCGATCCTCTTTGTCTTTTTGTTTTTTTATCCTTTGGGGACAGTTTAAATGTGTTTAGAGTCGTTACTCATTTCCTGCATTGCTTCACACTTTTACATCACGTCACAAAATACGATGATTTCCGTCTGCTCATCGACGAGGACGTGTCGCCGTGGATGATATGCCGGCATTTTGTCCCAGATGATCCACACTTATGGTCTAGTGGCCTGCATGGAGACAGAAAGTGTGTGTGTGTGTGTGTCTGATAGGCAGAGTCTGCGTAAAGCCACAGGGCAGATCAACTAGAGCAGAAGTAATGCACGGCAGCACAGGAGCTCTGGGTAGACAGACACACTAAACATATTGAACTCGCTGGGTGCTCTACTGTTTCACCGACGCCGATTCAGTTGCAGCGAAAATCTGACAAAACCGCACTGCAGTCGGGCGAAAGAAACGTCTCGCATTTACAGATACATCTACTTATTTTCACCTCTGATTTGACTAAATAACACGCTGAGTTTTTATACAGTTGGCCGCTTGTTCTTTTCCACCTCATCTGCTCATGCGCAGGGAAACAATATCACAAACGCAGCACGATACACTGCCAACTCCAACACACAAACACCACAAGCCTTTAGCCTTTCAAATGACACAAACACAACATTCCAACCTTGGAATCTTATAGCTGCTTGAAAGCTTTACTGTACTGCATTTTATGTGCAAATGTGCATCAAACTGAACTCTTTCATGCTGCAGTTTTTCCCCCTTTAGTCTCCAACGTTTCACATGTCGCTGTCACATGAACACTGAGGAGAAATTACACTTTGTTTCTGCTCCATCCTGTTTTCTCTCACTTTGACTCGGTCCAAGTCAGCGACCGAGAACCACGAGAAAAACACTGTGAAATTATAAAATGTCTGTCACATGCTACCCACGTGTGTTTACTCTGTGTTTTCTCCATGCAGCAGCAGTAACCGGTAGTCCTCTGTGCAGGATACACACAGCAGACCTGGAAATCTCTGGCTTGCATAATAAACAAATTCATGATTCACAAACAAAGTGACCGTTTGTTGATGATAGTTTGACTGTTCCTGTTTGGTTTAGGGAGTATCTTGTGACCCAAACACTGAGACAAGCTTATGGTGCTTGCATCAAGGTGTTGGGTGCATTCAGCAGATCATAACTTAGCTGACTGACTGGATTACTCCGTGTGTTTACGTGCACCAGTTTTACACATGATTACACTGTAGTAACCCGGTCGCTGTAAATCTGTGACACATCCAACTCGTCACTGATCGCACTTACAATCTTATTTTGGAGGCATGTGATGAACAGTTAGATGTTCAGTGGTGGAGCTGAACTTGTTTAGAGGCTGCTTGTCTCAGCTTCAGATGGACTTACAAGCAGATGTCAGATGTAAAAACCTCAGATGCATGACAGGAAATTAGCGATCACTGGCAGAAATCTATGTAATGTCCGACAAAAAATGAGCTTCCTGGGCAAATCAGAATGTGTCACGATTGCTGAGGTGAACGTTAATGCACTGGCTGATGCACAAATAGGTGCCACTACTGATCAATATCGGTAATTATTTCAATCTAGATTTAATATCAATAAGAGGAAAGAAACTTATTTTGTCACAAGATGCTTATTAGCGAGCTTGTCCCCTCAGGTTACGAGTGCAGACTTTGTGGCTCTCTCTGTGTATTCTCAGCAAGATGGTATCTTTTCAAATGGTGGAAAAGGTTTGTTGTGTTCATGTTGTGTTTCCATTTTTGTTGGAACAGGTTATCTACACATCTTGCAGCAGATATCGCTCTGCTGTTTATTCAGCTTTTCCAATAGTTTCCTCGTCTTGTGCAGAGGGCTGACCATCCTGAGTACATGTATGTGAGTTGTTGTTTTTTGTTTTTAAAGATTATTTTTCTGGCGTTTTTGCCTTTATTAGTCAGGACAGTGAGAGAGTGAGACAGGAAAGGGAGGAGAAGAATGGGGAGAGACCCTGCAGCAAACCGTCGCGAGCGAGAGTCGAACCCACGAACGCCGCACCGGGGAACTATAGCCCCTGTTTCTGGGTCGCCCGCTCAACCAGGTGAGCTGCAGGGGCGCCCATGTATGTGAGTTTTTTAATCCTCATTTTGGCCCTACATGGTTCCTACGATACCCTGCTGCAGCCTGATTGGGTGATTGTGCAGATGAAGGCTGATGCAAATAATCCAGTGCACTGGGCTCTCCACAGTTTGCCTACCAAGAGAAGGTGAGTGTAGATACCATCCTCTGCCACCTCCAATAGGCCTACTGTCAAATAAAAAAGCACCATGACATCTTGTTTTTGGACTTCCTCAGTGCTTTCAGCCCGTCTTATTTAGAGAAAAGCTGGCCAGGATGCAGGTGGACCTCCACCTTTTGACCTGGATCACAGATTCCCTCACTAGCTCAGTAAGTCACACTGAGAGCATCTGAGAGGGCAGTGAGCAGCACCAGAACCACTGGGGACTGTGCTTTGCCCTGTTGTCTCTACACAAGTTTTCAGACGACACAGACATTGCGGGGCAGCGGGCATGGCGCCACTCAAACCACCTGCAGCTGAATACGAGTGGATGGTGGTAGACTATTGGAGGACGTATTTCTTTTGGAGACTAAACTGCTGTTGTACCAGTGCACGGTTTCCAGTTTCTTTTCTCTGCTCTAGTGGCTGTCGAGGCAGCATTAAGAAGAGAGATGCTCCGGGCAGGAAGCTGGACTCTGTAAACAGCTTTCTGTCACGAACAATGACGGTCACCTGCTGCACACCACCACAGGAAAACAGTAAGTTCAGTGGTTGTGTTGCAGTCACTGAGCTGCTCAGTGGACGGACTTCAGAGATCCTTTGTCCCCAAAGCTATTAGGCTTTTCAACTCTTCCCAGGAGAGGCGGGGGGGACACCGAGTACTAATGCTCTGCTCTATGTTTCTGCTTTATTTCACTGCAGAGCCTTCGCCCTTCTTGCTGTGTACTCAAAGTCACTTCATTTACTATTGTTCCACTATTGCACAGTCTCCATATGTGTTGTTGACATTTTTAATAACTTGTGCTTCAGGTTAGTAAAGCTGCTTCATACAGGCTAACTCTTATTGTGTGTTTATTGTGAGTCATTTTTTGTAGCTACTGGATGCCGGATAAATAAAATATCATTCTTTTTCTGTCTATTTATTTAGAACAGATCCATTTATCACAATTTACTCATTTGTTAATTACCATTGAGTGTTTTTTTTCCCCATTCTTTAGCTAAGCCCTGGTGGACTTGGCTGTCTCTGTTGCTAGTTCACTGACAACTGAGTCAATTAACTGATAGACTGACAGACTTAGGAGTGACTGAGCTACTGACACACTGATGAACTGACTGCTGAGCTTACTGACTATCAGGCTCTCAATGAAACCAGCTCACGAGTTGTCTGTGCAGTGGGCGACGAGTGTGACAGATGAACGTTGAGGAGACACACCTGTGCTTGTGCATCTCATATAAACACCAAACATCCACTTACTTGAACTTAAAGGTCTCGCCGAGTTCAGTTGCATCACCTGGCGTGATCTCAAAGATCCCTGAGAATGGGTACGGGTGTCCGCCATAGGCAAACTCTGGACACACACACAGAGCAGGAACACATGTTGGAGCAGCTCGTGTTACAAAACAAAAAAGCCTCTCTGTGACATATAACACGTTTATAGACGGATATTTTTGGAGTGAAACACAGTGACGTATGCATTATGTGTTCTGAGCTATAAAAGCAGCATCCTTTCTGAAACAGCACCCTCGGGCGGATGCCCTGACGTGGGTGGTGTCAGATTTCTGGGTAACCTTACCTCTTCCATAGATCTCAATCCCTGAGTGAAAGACTCCTATGCCCAGAGAGCTGGTGAACTCATTGATCCAGTACTGAAGACAGAAAGAGACAAACACAGGGTGAGATACAGCTGCATTTCTCACACTACACAGTTAACACAACTAATAAGGAAATGTGTCTGAAATGGGCCACCACCAATATTCTTAGTGTACATTTATTGAACTTGGAGCTTTTCCAATTTATAAATTTAGTCAATAGAATGTCAAAATAGTGAAAAACAACCATCACAGCTTCACTTGAAATGTTTATTTGTTGCTTATTTTGTCCAACAAGCAGTTCAAAACGCCAACATTTTACCGTATACAAGACAGAAGAGCAGCACATTGTCATATTTCAGCAAATATTGAAGGATTTTACTCGATAAATTATTTATAAAACTTGTTCACAGCAATACATTTTTGGTTGTGTAATCCATTACCTATTTCAGCACTAAAGGAAACCACCACACATATAAGATTCTACTTCTGATACTGTTTATCTGTCTTTGCCTTCAGGGGTTTTCCTGGTTCAGAATGTGGCCTGATCGGTGTGTGAGCAGTAAAGGCAATGCATTTGTGTGACCATTATTGATTCATTCTTCTGTTTTTTGTGGCCATTTTTATACACAAAATGTCTATTATGCTGGAGCAAATGCAATCCTAATTAACAACACAGGTTAAAAAAAATAGTTTATCTTCCCCTTTGCAGGGAGAACTTTGTCGTAATTCCACCACAGATGGCAGCTGAGGAGGCACATTTAAATGTTTGAAAACCTGCTTCAGAGCAAACCCTACGACTGAGTGAGTCACCGTCTTGTTGACTGTATACATAAAACTGCAGCTGAGGAGATTTAAAAAAAATGTCAACTCCATGCATCATTTAACAGAACAATCACATCAAATAGACCCAATTACATTCACAAATTGAGCCGACAGAGTTAATGGCGACTGTCTAGATGAGGCCAGCTGGTGTCGATGTGATCCGATGTTTACACGAGCTCCCTTTCACACAGACAATGAAAGGACAAGCAAGAGCACACAAAATCAATAAGAGTAGCAGCACTGATCTGCCATTACCATCCGTCTTTTCAGCCGTGTTTCTGTCTGACATCCCGCGGCTACGAGCTGATTGGCTACGCTGTTGCTAGGCAGAGTTCGTGAATGAGATGTTTGATCACAGAGGATGCAGCAGGTCAGTGTGGTGGGAATGTGATGCAGCAGCTCAGGAATAATAAGTTAGTAAATCTGTCTTTCTATCTTTGCTACAGCTCCCAAAAATAAATCACACAAGCGTTACTCAACATCAGCAGCACCCTGTCCAGTGTGCAGACCCTCAACAAATGTTAGTCCAAACCCAGCGGTGATGTGATTATGTAGCGCATCATCCATTTTGGTGCAAAACAGGTCTGACGGCTCATTCATGGGGACACATGTTTAAAAAAAAGTGAATCATAATTTCTCACATTTCCTGCAAACCAAAGTGAAGAAACACGATCCGAGACCCAAAGGTGTTGTGTTGACAGTCACAAAATACAGGAAAGCAGCAACTTCTTACATCTTAGAAGCCGGAACCAGCAAATTCTTTAAACCTGAAACAAATTGATAATCTAATAATCTTATAAAATAAATAAAAATAACCCTGACAATTTCGCCTTCAGACACAGTCAAGTGCAAACAGGCAAACTGTGCCAAATCAGATGCTACCGTTCTATTCCTGTTTGCAAAAGACCCCTGAATGTACAGAGCGTCTTTCTTTAAGGATTCTAAACACATCAACGGATCTTTTGACGATGCAAATTGAAGAAAGAAAGTGTAAATGATACTGAAACTAAAAATATGTGCATCATGTCTGTGTGTTGTCTGATTTGACTGAACACTGACTCTAGAAGGAGGATGACCTCTGACTGAAAATTCAGTACATGCAGTATCTTTGTCTCACAATATAAAAACCTCTTTCTGAAGCAACAATGCCCAATAAATAACCGTGTTTTTGCTTCTCAGTTGTGAAGATTTGCTGCTTTTCTTTTATTGTTGACATAATTGAGTGAATATTTTTAGACTCTTGGCTGGACAAAACACATATGAAGACATCAACACTGGCATTAGGACACTGAGATGCTATTTTTAATGACTTACAGATCACATAACTGAGCAGCCGAGATCCTAGAATATGACATGAAGCTAATTTATCTCCATGCTGTTCAGAGGTTACGTGTCGTGGATTGTATGTTCTGTGCACAGGCGGACTTTCCTCCTTCGTACTCAGTGAGCGTTACCAGAACAAAACACAGTTATCAGCCCGTGAACCACAGCAATCTATTTAAAACTATTCTCACGCTTCCTGTCTGGCGCGATGCAAATACAGTACGTAGCTGCTCCGTATCAGCTGTGGCAGAGCTGCTCGTCTTGACCACATCTGCATTAAGTTATTTCCTCTTCACATTTTAACAGTTTAAACACAAGGTAAAGTGGACTGTTTGTTTCAGCCAGTGACTTACAAGCGACGTTTGAGCCACTTGTTGTCCACAGTAAAGGTGAATTTGTTGGTGCGACTGTGGCGAGCACCGGAGACGAGTGTCACCTTCCTGACCTCTGCAGAAACACGAGATGCTAATCGTGTGACGGGCAGTAAAGCGACCCGGCTCGATGAAGCTTTGACCCTCGTGATGGTTTATCTGCCGCAATTACGCTTGGCTGACTTAAAAGTCGATTTTCAGACTGCGTGTGAATTAACCAAAGGTTAGAGAGTGTTCATAAAATCTAAAAACATGCAGCCATTGTTCATCTGTCTCCACTCGGGTGGAGGATCCCGTGAAACAGACACTTCTGCGATGACCTCAGGCTGCACCAGTGGCTGAAACTAAACTATCATACATTTTTCAACAATCCTGCCTTTCTACGCTTCCACTCAAACTTCCTTCTCTTGGTTCGGACAGTCTGTCGTTTTACACTTTAATCTGAACCTCCGACGAGCCGCTTCAACAGAAAGATGCAGAAAACAGAAAAGCTCCGTTTGTTCTCTGTCAAAGCAGATAGATGCTTTTTTAAATACAACACAATCGGGGTGCATAAGCAGATAAAATGCAGTGTGATAAGTTTTCAGTGCAGCAGAGAAAACAAAATTCACAAAATTAAACCAACAACTGTCTAATTGGCTCTAATTCCTACTGGAAGAATTAAGAAACAACAGTCCACTCAAGTACTTTTTCTTTTTTTAAATGAATGAAAATTTGAAGAAAAAAATATACAAGAACAACATATTCACAACTAAATTACCCACTAAAGCCAGCACTGACATTCTAGATCAACCTCTGCATTAACTTTCCTGCTGCCACCTTATTTGAATAAACTTTATTGCACTTAGTTTGAATATTCTCATGTGAGTAATTTGCACATCCCTGCACATTGTAAATAGTTCTTTCACTTTTTTTTATTATGCAAAATTCATTGGATTTCCTACACTTGCTGTTTATTTGACTTGCTTCCTTTTTTAAATATTTCAGTCCTTCTTAAAAAAAGAAATTCTGTATTTGTCAGCGTTTACTGTAACGCACCAAAACCACAAGTCAAATTCCTCATTTGTCAGAACCTACTAACCTAAAATTGAGTCGTCAGCGGGGTTCAGTGTGAGCTTCACATGCTTTATCACTTCTGCCTCGTCTCAGGGGTTCACAAACACAGAGTTCTTTTTACTGATGGCAAAAACTTGTGTTTATTTCTCTTCTCAGCAATGGCACCAACTTTTTCGTTGCTTCGCCACTTTGGCACAATGACCTGGCCACCATCGAACTAAACAAACATAACACACCATGTGGTAAAAATGTAAAATAAAGGCATATAAACTATATTAAAACATAAACATACCTCGCTGCCTGACCCGATCTTCAAAAGGCAGAAATGAGGTCTTCATTAATATACCCACTTTCCAGTTTACCCGCTCCTGGCGCCTACCATGAAACGTGCAACTCCAACAAGTGCACCATCGGAACCAACACCACGAGCAATAGTTCCCACATTCACAATTCAAAATAAAAGCATCAAT